AAGCTTCAATGAAGCGCTGCAACAAGATGATACACTATATAAACACGATAAAATCTGACAGAGTGGAATAATGAAGGAATTTTCCAACCATAAAGCTGCTTAAAGGGGAAATTAAAGGAAGCTGGAAGTCAATGGATGTCTGCACTGCTGTAGCAATCAGAAACCTATATGATATTAGCATGTTATTATATAATAAGGTTTCTCTGTGTTTCATGTAAATCATACAGAAAAATGCAGAAGATGGACACTTTGATAGTAAAATGTGGCTGAAATGACACTCACCATGATCTCAAGGACTTGTCTGGGGGGAGGAGCAAGTGGACTCTCATCCTCCTCTGGAACGGCTATGTTAGCCTTTTGAATCTCCCTCAGCAGGTAGCCTGTACACACAAATATGCTGATAGTTTGTTTCAAGGTAATTACTGCCGGAGTGTCGGAGCAAGCTGTGAGATCTCAAATCTCTGAGGGACCATTTTATAAAACACAATACTTGTCCAGGTGTATGCTCGGGCTACACCCACATGATGAACCACCCCAGGTGCTCTCTTACCCAGAATTCTCTCCATCTCCTCACATCTCTTGATTTCGCTGACGAAGCGCCGCTGGAACGAGCTGACACTCGGGTTGAGCTGAAACCAGAGGAGCATCGCAGGTCAGGTGGCAGCATCAGTCAATGCATGTGTCAATGACAAGGGACATGATGGCATCTTAACAACAGATGTTGTTCATTATTGTTTATCGTAGTTTAAATACTGTTTCAAAACTTCATGTATCTACATCCACATCTCCCAGTGTGGATGTACTGTAGGTGTACAGACATTTTACATGAACATTCAGTCATAATGCCTATGGCTGCATTATAGACAGACAGACAGACAGACAGATAGATAGATAGATAGATAGATAGATAGAGAGATTTAGCATCTTAAAAAACTGAAGTGCGCATGAACATTTAGGTCTATTTATAGGGAGAAGTTCCCCCCATTCATCCTCCCCCCTCAACCATAAAGGTAATTTATTCGATATTAGTTTAAAAAAATAAAAAATAAATAAAGCACATTAAGCACCATGACTTTTAAACTGCTGATGAGAAAATGAGTGTTTGTGCATCATCAGCCTCTCTACTTACATCTCGGAACTCGACCAGCCCCAGCTCTCCGAGCTCACTAATGCAGTCATATTCAGAGCCGGACTGCAGAAACAATTGCGCCAAGCACATCTCCTCACTCCGAAACACCATCTTTATATCTGCCAGACAGACCTCCTCCTCCTCCTCCTCCTCCTCCTCCGCCGCCTGATAATCTGCCTGTAGCCTACTGAACCTGGACAACGAGCCGTTCACTACCAGCGAAAATAGGACATCACAAAATTCACCCAGTCGGTGCGTGGCTTTAACCCCCTTAACCAATTAACATGCCCCTGGAGGATTAATTATGGTCTATTAATAAGGGTTTCTCAGAAGGGAGATTTTCTTTCTCATTCTGAGTCTGGGTGACGCACCGCTTTGTCCCCCCTTTCAGATCCGTCTGATGTCTACTGAATAAACAATTTGAAAACAAAGACAGAAACCTCCCTAATGCACCTTTTGCGTCGAGCGACCGGAGAGAAAGGCGTCATCCTGTAGGCGCTTTACCTTGAACACCTGTCATTACAGCGCATAAAAAAACAACAACAACAACAAAAAAACACCGAGACGACGCACCACTGGCGCAGAAACGAGCAACAGGCAAACCGAAAAGATAAATCATCAACCGGCCATGGAGACAACGAGGGGCCGAAAGGCAGCACCACGTTAAAATATAAGCCACAGTCAGAAATAGACCACGGCCTTTATTCGCGCTACGTCGACCGGCAATTGACACAGTTGCGTCTCCGGGTTGCCAGATATTGTCGCATCCTCTGAAATAATCATCGGCGTGTTTCTTGGCTGCATAAAGAAGGAGGTGTGGAAATATATGAAGCTAGAGGGTTGATTTGACAGTTAACAGACATATAGTTACAAGCAAGTAACATAATGTGTAAATAAATGAAGTTTCACTGACATACTTAACCTGCAGCTATTTCACACCCTGCTGTATCAACATCAGTTTAGTCTATATTTGCTTAACTTATTGAAGCATACTAATGTTTTTATAGCTCAAACAAAAGGCTGTACGAGGGCATACAATATTAACAATATGAACATTTAAAAAAAATTAAAATAATGTAACTTTTCTGTTCCAAAATGATAATAAAATGACATTTTCAGCTCTAAAACCTTTGTGATTATAACAATTATGGCCTAGACCACTGGTTCTCAACCAGGGGGTACTCAGAAAAAATGGAAATTTAATGTTACTGTATTTCGTTGACTTTTCCTTCATAGGCTTCACTCTCTTTTTTTATATCTATCTATCAAACATGGATCCATGAGACATCAAAAACAGGTCTAAGCCTGGTGTGGATCAATCTGGGGGTCCATGTCATCCAAAAGGTTGAGAACCACTGGCCTAATCAAAGTATGATATTATCCATTATTATACCCTTTAAAATATTATCATTAGTTTATTGTGATATTAGGCTGTGTTCACATTTTACTCTTTTTTTTTCATTTAGTTTAAATTTTGTGTGTAAAAAAAAATCCTTTGTCTCGTTTTAAATTATGCAAGTGAATGGCAAGTTGTTTTCTTTAAAGGGGGTTTGCTGACAAACCTGGCAACCAGCGCATCTTCTTATTCTGTTCCATCACTGAAAGCGGGCCGACCATCTGCTCTTCTTTGTGTGTGAAACCCTTTATTTCGGATGTTTTAGGGTTATATGTTAATATTGTCATGTTGTGAATAAATATAATAAATTGTTGTTGTTTATGCCTAATAGAGCCGCACATGTATGGGCATCTTTTTACTGACACTGACTGACAACATGTTGTGCTGTAGGAGTGAAAATACCGTCAGTAGGCCAACATGACTCAACACAAATGTTACTCAGGCTTAGAGAAAACGTGGATGTTGTTACTTTTATTCTTTTTAAATTTCTTTTTAAATCAGATATTTATTAACAACATGTTTATGCTCAGTGTTTAGTCCAGCACCTAAACGCTGCAGGAACCAGCTGGTTTAATCCTGCAAGTACAAACTCACGTTTCAGGAAAATGTAAATCACATCAGATTAAGGTCAGATTCAAATATTCACAATGAACACATTTACATTACCACCGTGTGTGTGTGTGTGTGTGTGTGTGTGTGTGTGTGTGTGTGTGTGTGACCTCAACTTCTCACTGATCAGGATTGTACAGACATTTGTTATAACCTTTATTTAATATCTAAGAGAGGATAACAAAAAAAGGGTTACCCAAAAAATGGAACAAGGGAAAGAAAAGGCAAAAACACTTAACAATGAATAATGTTTGTTTATAGAAAAACATATTAACAGAGTTAAATCTATTAGCCAAAATAATAAACAAAAATACACTAACTAGAGAACAAAAGGTTCGACTCGTCGACAGGATCAAACTGAAAAACAGAACAAAAATACTGAGCTCCATAACTAACAACACAGGAGAAAAAAAACAAAGCTAAATAACACCAACAAAGCTCCTTAAAGTTACCCCGACTAATTCAACAAGGCACTTCTACCAAATAGTCACACTGTAATACGTTAGTTTAACTAAAAAAATTGTTTAAATTTTAGTAACACTAATGATTTTTAAGTTAAAACATTCTTGATTAAGGAACTTTTACTAGAACTGACACCGGCTTAGTCACAGAAACATTCCTATTCAAGTACTTTTTACTACATTTTTTCACATTACAAATAAAGATAAAAAAATTAAGTCAGTGTCACTTAAAATTAGAAGTAAAAGCTGCGTAATCAAGAATGTTTTTAACTTACAAAACTGTGTTTGTGTTACAATATTTTTTCTTAAATGAACTAAGTTTCAAAAAGATAAACTAAACAGAGCTGTATGAAAAACACAGTTTCAACAAGCTCAACAAACAGCTCAGTGGCGAGGAGCGCTGGTTCTGGGGGTCGATACACTGAATATCAAATGTTCAGATCGGTGATTCAGGCACTGATGTGACAGCTCTCTTCCAGGAAGAGGTCAGAGGAGAGTCTGTGGACGTAACAGCATCTCTCCTGAAACCAAAACCTTTATCTGGATAAATGAATTAAAAAACTGACATTAAGGAGGAACATGTTTCCTGATATCAAACAACAAACCCTACAAACACAATGTTAATATAGTTAACTAAAAACTACAACTATAAACTACAACTAGTTGTGAAAAATCATTTTAGTTAACTGAAATAAAAACTAAACTAAAACTAGACTTTAAAAAAACCTAAACTAAACAAACTAAAATTAAAAATACAGGAAATGTCTTTAGTTTTGGTCAAATTTGTCAACACAACAAGCACGTTGGTACATATTACTGAGACTGCGATGTCTACATGACTGTGAGTCAATTACCTTCACACATGCTGTTTGTACTGTAATCCCCCATATTATAATTAAAAAACTAAAACTAAAACCAAACGTTTTTAAACAACGCAAACGAGACTGAAACGAGCTGAACCACTCTGGAACCTAAACTGAACTGAAAAACAAACACTAGAATAACCACCCAGATGCTGTAGCCGTCTGACAACCAGCGAAGTAGCAGTTTACATTTATGTCTGTTGAGACTCATAGAATATATATGTGTGAATACTGAAAGAATTTAAAAGGTATTAAATAAAGGTTCAATCGCTATATTGATGGTACATATGTATGATTCAGTGAATATACATTATTGAACTGATTCATTAATGATTATCATATTGTCTAAATAGGTACACATGTACTCATGTAGAGATGGATTATTATAAAGTTATACAATATATACTTTTGTTTCTTCTGGCACTTTGACATGTGAAGCCTCTCTGTTAGTGTTTTCCCACCGCATTAGCTCTGCCACTACCAGTGTAACCACTGTAATCGAGGATACTTCATCAACAGAGGGCCTGTAGAATGTAACACACTTTGGTTTCCAAGGTTAACCTGCTATTTATTTCTTCTAGCTGGGAACAAACTTTTGGGTTCTAAACAGATTTATTTTTGTATTTTAAACTCACTCACAGGATCACGATTAGCTAAGTACACTCACATGATTTACAAAATCCAAAAGAATGGATGAGATGGAAAGATGAAAGCCTGTACTGTGTTATTGTTATTGTTTATTAATGGTCAGTCAACATGTTTGTGAAATCTGCCAATTCATTCTTAAATTATATCTTCTGTTGCTGAGTAATACTGTTGAGAAATGGACATTGTCACAGTGAAGTTGACCTTTTGGATAAAAAATGTCGTCGCTTCATGGCTGTATCCCGTTATATAATATATATATATATATATATATATATATATATATATAACTTCATCTTTTGATTATTTCTAAACATACTGCAAGGTTTTTAAGGAAGAGCTCAGACTGATTTTTTTCTGCTTTTACATTTGGAAGAGTTCATTCATCTTCATTTGAATGCATGCAAAGAGGTGCTGCTGCTGCCCTCTTATTTGTTTTTATTTTTACATTTACATAGATGGCACTGCTGCTGTTTGCATGTATGAATTTCACCTGATGAAGTATCAACCTTATATCTTGTTTTTACATTCACATATTCACAGAAAAGCACATAATATGATATAATTGACTAAATCTTAAAGGCACAGTATGTAATGTTTACCACATCAAACAATTCAACAACCATCATTTCTGAAATCTATCTGACTGGTGACTCAAACAGAAATCATGTTCACAGACGAGGTCATGTATTTATATTTAACTCGTCTTATGTTTAGTCACGTTTGCTGACTTCCTCCCTCACTCTGATTCATCTTGTGTTTGTCCAGAAGTTAAAGAAGCAACCAGGACTAGAGGGGATATGATGCCACTGACAGGGGACCAAATGAAGCGTGTGAAGTAAATGATTAATACAACAAACAGAGTTCAGAGTTCAGAAGAATCACAAAAGTCTATTTCAGCTGACAGGAAGGAGCTGTTAGCTGTTATAGTTTGTAACATCCGATGGTAAAGAGAGTAATTCTCTCCTGAACATAACATATGTCGACTTGGTGACGTACACGACTTTCTTCTGAGAACAGAAAAGTGTTTCTGTGTCTTGTAGGATTTTACAATTTGTGAGATAACCACAGCTCTGGTCAGGAAATGGTCACTAAAAAGGGGGCAAAGGTCAACACATATAGTCAGATGAAGGGAATTTGCCCTCACAGCCTTCAGTCACTATGTTAGGTGGACTTAAAAGTAAAGGAAAACAGTACATTGGATCATAGTAATGTATGCAAAACTATACTATTACAGAAAAACATACATGAATGATACATTTTGTTCTTCGGGTTTGAACATTTGGGGCGACACAAGTACCCAACAAAGGTCATTTCAGACCCTTTGAACATGTTACACATTATATCTTTAAATCCCTCAGGCTCTGGGCCAGTCTGTTGAGCTCCTGCGACAGAGCCGTGACCGTATCCAGGATCTGTGTCTTGTCCTTCTCCTCTAATCGAGCTTCACAGCGCTGAGCAAACTTATCGGGATGCCACAGCGCCTGCTGCTTCCGGAGCATCTTACGGAAGAGCGGCAGGTCCTTTCGGTCCACGCCGTGCAGCATCACGTCTACCATCTCCTGCACTGTGCCTCCAGGAGCCGGCCAGGGGATGTCGCTGTAGCTCAGCTTTGTGCTGACAGATGAAGAGTCAGCATTAAAAGTAGCCGCGCAGCCTTCGTCGTACCTGCGCTTCTCACCCTGCCGAGCCTCTTCCTCTCTACGTGCCTTCAGATGATCTCTCTCCTGGTTGCTCTTCCAGCTTCTCCATCCAGAAGACGATGGCGTTCCACCTGTGGCATTTCGCATTTTATCGAAATACTCATTTCTGATACGTTCAGCCCAGTCCTTAAAGTCTTCATCATCATCATCATCATCATCATCAGGAAGACCATCTATTGCTGTGAAACAAATACAGCAGTGTCATTATTATGAAAGTCTAAATACAATTCAGCATTAAAGAAGAAGTTTAAATTTACCATCAAATGCTTTAGAGAGCTCCACAAACTTCTTATTTATCTTCTCAAGCTCTTCAGTCAGAGATCTCAGGTTCTCTGTAGTCTGGGAAGAATATTAGGAAATTATTATTTAAATATGATCCACCGCCAACAAAAACTACAGATACACAATAACAACAATTGTTATTGTCTGCTCACATGTGACTCTAAAGCTCATTCACAAACATTTGTTTCATAGAATCAGCACTGAAAGACAACCAGCACAAAAACACCAACATCCATCTGTCTTTCAGTTATACTTCAGTTAATTAATAACTTATTATGTAAAAACAAACTATATAGTTGAACATGTTTCTTAAGACTTCTCAGGCTGTTCCACATCTGTTCTGTACATCACTGGTTCCCAACCTGGGGGTCCAGACCTCCTTTAGGGGTCACCAACCTTCATGGGGGAAGCCTTCTTAATTTAAAGGGGTGTAGGAAAATCTTTTTTTTAAAAATCAACAGTAGCCCTAGCCTGTATCTTAGCATTTAATGGTAACTAAGCAAAATTGTTATTTAAAGTTTATATAATTATTCACGTTATAAACTTTTAATGAAAAGGAAACACTGATCTGCCAATAAGAAACATGTTAAGTATAGATGATTGTTTATTTTCTTCTAAATACATAAGAGAACTGTAAAAGTTCCTAACAATATAAAAGATGCAATATTATCATTTATAATCTGCTAAAAAATAATCCAAAACGCTCATTTTACACAAACTACCTGCAGTTACTGTTACTAACTGTACAGTTTACTGTTGTTGTTCTGTCCTGTTATTGTTATGAACTGAACATAATGTGAAATATCCAGAATATATGTCGCTTAGTCGAGGGTCACTTGGTTTAATCTAAAAGGTTAAATCTAAATCAATAACACTAAATACAAGTGTTTTGTAATTGCTGGGTTATTATGCAGTGGTTAACATCTATAAATGCAGCAGAAAACAGTTTCTGACTAGAACATTGATTCTTATCTAAATGTCAATTGTTACCTTTGAATGTTTCTTCCACATCTTGAGCATTTCTTTAGGTGTGACTCCCGCGCTGTTGGGAGCATTCAAAGCATCTGGACAGCTGTTTCTCAGAGGCACCACCAGGTCTGTGTACGCTGCAGGGAAAATAAAAGCCACCATATAACAAATGATGCTTAACATTAAAATGTAGCCCCCCCCGCCCCCAACATGTCCTTCCTCACCTCTCCTCCCGCATTTAAACACCTCACTGACGGCCGTGTGTAACGCTGTGTCTCCTTTACGGTCCTTCTGGAGAACATCGGCTCCGTGTTTGAGCAGCAGCCGCAGCACAGCGTTCTCTCCCCGGCAGCAGGCGAGCTGCAGCGGGCTCCTCTCCCTCTTTCCCTGGGAGAAGTTCACATCCAGGTCCCGGTGCTTCCGCAGGTACGACTTCAGCTTCAGCAGACTGCCCTCCTGCACGTACCTCCACACCCGCTTCTGTTGGAGAGACATGGCTCGGAGGATGGACTTATAGCTGTGTACTCACTGGTATTAAATACTATAACATCAGCTTCTTCTTTGTCTGAGCTGCCTATAGGCGCATTCCTGGTCCTTCATCTTAATAACTCCTCAGCAACAGCTCGGACACCAAAGTTCCCGGTACAGGATGGTTCCGGATTTGTTGTCAGTATTTAATATATCCATGTCATTTATTTATTGATAAACAGGCTACAACTGTGTTACCTGACATTTTTTATTGACTCAACAGAAAGAAATTATTCATTTGAAAGCAGGCTCTGCTCGTCTGTGAAATCCTTTTTTTAAATTATGTTTTTAAGATTTTAAGAGTTATAGGAGAAATTACTGTTCACTGGTATGAGCATCTTTTTCATGCTGCTGTGCTTCAGGAGTAAAAATACCATTAGTAGTCACACAACTCAAAACAAATGTTACTGAGGCTTAGAGAGACCTGGACGTTGTTACTTTTATTCTTTTAAAATCAGGCATTCAAGTACAAACTCACATTAGAACAATGTTCAATCAGATCAGACTGAGGTCAAATAGTCACAATACTTTACATTTACTTTCTTTTGGAAGATGCTTTTGCTGCAACAGACTTACATTTTCCCCCACACATACACACACCAGGAGGACAGGGGAGTGGTGATCGGTTTAATTCCTGGTAAAACAGATCTATGCATTACTACCACTGTTGTGCCCTTGAGCAACCCTCAACTGCACACTGATCAGACTGGGATTGTACTCCAGCTGTGTGTGTAAACGGGGCTCTCCTGAAATAATAAAACATTCCCTGGATAAATAAAGGTTAATAAAATAACATTAAAGATGTACATTGAGCTGGAATCAAACTATAAACCATACAAACACTAAAACTGAGCTGTAAAAACAACTGATGTTACAGGTGTAGCAGACACCATTTCAAGCCCTTCTGGTACATTTCACTGTACAGCATGTACTCACTTTATTAATGAGGCAACATATAAATAAGAACTTCTCAGTATCAGCTGTGACATTGTTTGTCAGCCAGTACGAACAGTTGTATCTTCTGATGATTTGTAAACCTAACATTAAGGATTCAAGGTGCTGCTGGTGCCCTCTGATTTGTGTTCTTCCCACTGGGTCGTGTTTGAATTTACATTTATTGTTCTGGTACTGTTTGTCTGTGTGAATATCACCTAATGAAGGACTGAGGACTAAAACACTGTTAATAAAAATGACTACAAGTGGTCAACAGTCTTTTGCATTAATGGAACTAAACACATATTTCCAGTAAAGCACATAATATAAACGATATGATTTCCTCAATTTTAAGTCCTCAGGCTCTGGGCCAGTCTGTTGAGCTCCTGCGACAGAGCCGTGACCGTATCCAGGATCCGTTTCTTGTCCTTCTCCTCTAATCGAGCTTCACAGCGCTGAGCAAACTTATCGGGATGCCACAGCGCCTGCTGCTTCCGGAGCATCTTACGGAAGAGCTGCAGGTCCTTTCGGTCCACGCCGTGCAGCATCACGTCCACCATCTCCTGCACTGTGCCTCGTGGAGCCGGCCAGGGGATGTCGCTGTAGCTCAGCTTTGTGCCGACAGACGAAGAGCCAGCATTAAAAGTAGCCGCGCAGCCTTCGTCGTACCTGCGCTTCTTACCCTGCCGAGCCTCTTCCTCTTTACGTGCTGCCCGTGCCAGATACTCTTCATGCTCCCTCTGCAGCCTCTCATGCAGCTCTTTGTTGCTTTGCTCTTCTTTCTCTCGCTCTTGTTTGCTCTTCTTTCTTTTCCATCCAGAAGACGATGCTGCCAGTCTCTGAGCTTCAGCGTGCTTTTTGTTGAAATAGTCTTTTCTAATACGATCAGCCCAGTCCCCAAAGTCTTCCTCGTCGTCGTCAAGAGGAAGGAAATCGTCCGCTGTGAAACAAACACAGCAGTGTTGTTATCAAAATGAAGAAAGTCAAAATAAATTCAGCATTAAAAGAGAAAGTTTAAATTTACCATCATATACTCCGAAGGTTTCACAGAATTCATCCTCGCATTCACCGAACAGCTTCTCCACCCACTCCTTCTCAGGGTCGGCTTCAGAGGGACGGCTCATGTTCTCTGTAGGCTGAGAGAAACATTCAGGAAATTATTTATCCAACACGAACAAACACATCAAACTGTGTTAATGCTTTATGGTTTGGTCCATGATTTACAAATAACATACAGTTAATTAAAGATGTTTTCCCCACCTTCCAGACTTTCCAATATCTGATACTTTTCCCAACAATAATCAATTCACAAACGTGTTTTCATATAATCAAATCAACCCTGAAATATCACACAAACAGAAACTTATTTTTAATATTGATCTGTCTTTCATCACCTCAGTGTATATTCAATCTGACTGACAACTTTGAGTTGATCATTATATATCACACTGATATGAATGTAGAAGGAGTTGCAGCACCAACAGAGCCCCCTCCTGGAGGCAGACCTGGGAGAGGAGGTAGATGGCGTGCGTCTGGTGGGCAGACTTGGACCTATGGGGCTGCATACAGATTGCCTTGTGGGCCAACCACCGACAGGAATAGGCATTCAATCTGGGTGCTTCGTAAACCGGGAACAGACAAAAGGTATGGGACTGGTCATAAGGACGTGTAATGTCACCTCTCTGACGGGGGAAAGAACCGGAGCTGGTACAAACGAGATATAGTTGGGTTCACCTCTACGTTCTGTAGGGAGACTCATGTGGGCAACGATGGAGAAACCTCGAGGTGGGTGACTGGGAGGAAGGGCCTGCCTGATCTGAACCAGAGTGGTGTTTTGTTATCAGACATCACCATCATCATGGATTGGCCATAACAAAGACAATGTTGGAGCATAAGGTGGTTTATAAGAGTACTTGGTACCAGAAGAACTTAAATTAAAGATCGACCCAGTAAACACCAAATGTGAAGTGAGGGTGTGAACTGGGAACGTAAGGAGGACGGAGGGCCTTTTCTGTCTTCAACTTGCACTTCACATCACAAGGGAGGTTGGGAAATCTTCTCATTATAAGTTATCATGAAGATCAGACACATGTGAGATGGTGATGGATTTTTCCCTTCACTGTTTTCAGCCATTAGGTGCAGCTCTACAGCAAAAAACACATTTATCTGAGCACCACAGACTCTTATCTACATGTCTATTGTCACCTCTGTATGTTTCATCCAGGTCAGCAGGTCTTTAGGTGTGACTCCAGCACTGTTGGGAGCAGTCATAGCATCTGGGCAGCTCTTTATGAGAGGCACCACCAGGTCATCATACGCTGAAGGAAAAACAAACAAAGGATATAACAAAGGATTCATAACGTTTATAATTTAACATTATCCTGTCCTTCCTCACCTGTTTTCCCAAGTTTCAGAGCCTTGTTGGCGGCCGTGTGTAACGCTGTGTCTCCTTTACGGTCCTTCTGGAGAACATCGGCTCCGTGTTTGAGCAGCAGCCGCAGCACAGCGTCGTCTCCCCGGCAGCAGGCGAGCTGCAGCGGGCTCCTCTCCCTCTTTCCCTGGGGGAAGTTCACATCCAGGTCCCGGTGCTTCCGCAGGTACGACTTCAGCTTCAGCAGACTGCCCTCCTCCACGTACCTCCACACCCGCTTCTGTTTGTGAGACAACATGCGGAGTATGGACCAGACTGAGAGGTTAAATGTCGTTGTTTTAGATTGGGTTAGCTTCTGAAGGCCTTCGGCTAATCCGGTCCTTCTCCTACATAACTCCGACGCTAACAACAGCCCAAGGTTCCGAGCATAGAGAGGTTCCGGTGTTGTCACTAGGTGTCAGTGTTGACTGTCTTTCGAAAATCAGCTGTTAATTGAAGCCACTTTTATTGACTCAACAGCACACTGTAGCTAGACAGGATGCCCTGAAATGCAACTTGTACTCCTTCCTTCTCTTTATGATGGGAAAACAAAGCCATGTACTCAGGAAGAGTTTTGGCACTACAGTGATTTTCTTCATACTGTCAGGACTCTGTTGCCATCTTCTACATGGGCCAATTCCTCAGTATTCATAAGGCCTCCCTGCTCTCTTTAGGTTCCTGTGCCTTGGCCTCCTTTCAACATGCCACCTGTCAGGGAAATGTAAAGAGGTCATCTGTGTGCCCCTGTTTGTGTGATGTTATATACTTCAGTGGTTAAAATTGCTCCAACTGGCCAAAAATGTACTCAACAATATATGATCTTGTACATTTATTGCAAAAGTCTAGTTCATAATCTTACTGTATGAACAACATGATTGTTATGACTCCGTCTGTGGTGGTGTAGCAGAGTGATTGTCACAGCTGTCTGAAATTTGATGTCTTACAGGAGACGAGAGCTTGAGAAGTGAACAAAGAATCATTATTTGATAGAAGATATTAAATGTGTGGGCAGCAGAAAGGATCATAGGTAGTTGTTTACAATGGCACCTGCATGTGTGGCTATTACGCAGACTTTTAAAAAATATTATTTTAGGTGCATTTTGACGTCTATTATACAGCTTGAAATACGAGCATATACATGGTCACCTATTTCTATTTGTCTAGAGCTTCTTATGACTTTTTATGTGGTGCTGCAGCAACTGTTTGCCTGCATCTGTGATGAAGAATCTTTATTTAAAGGCTCCAAAAGCTAGAATTTGTCAGTAGTAGAGTTGATTACAAGGAAACACAGTTACTACTATTTCTATTTCACAGCATGTCAACCTTTTATGACTTTATATGTGATGCTGCATCAACTGTTCGCTGCCATGACTGAAAATGTTTTGTATTTATTTATTTTTATTTAAAAGCACTGCTTGGATTTGTGGGAAGTAGGAAGGGGATTACAGTAAATTATAGTAGACATTGTTTTGTCTTTTGGGCCACAAGCCACAGAGCAAACACATCAACATGATAACATACATGACACACACACACACATACACAGAGGGAGAGAGTGTGTGTGTGGCTGCAATAACAGAGGACAGTTGGCAACACGTTTGCATCATTAACATAAGTCTACAAAATCTGCTCATCCTTAAATGATCTCTTCAGTCTATCATGTTAGATTAAAGCTTAGAATTAGATATTATCATCGTCACCGCAGTGATTACCTAAGTCAACTAAAGTGGTAGCACACAGCCTCTCTGGGTGCTGTTCTTGCGTAATTTCGTTCTTGCATGTGCAGCTATCTTTACCTGTGATTAAACCACTGCAGCTGAGCCTCTGAACTGGCTTGGTCCTGCTGCAGATGACAGGGCATCCATTTAGGCCCGAATGAGGGAAGGATGCACAATGGAGAGGATAGAGGAGGGAATGAAGGGACACTTTGTGCCCTGTGAAGAGGATGATCCTCTCTGAGACTCACATAGACTCAACCGAGATCCGGAGTCACCCAAAGCTTGGGCACTTCCGCTCTTTTTTGCAGTCGGAAACGACGTGTCTCCACTAACGATGAATGCCTTTGTAATGTCTGACATATCAGGAGAGACAGAGTGAAAGCAGAGAATGAAGGAGAAAGAGACGTCTGATTTGTCACCTCAGGTGTTTGGGTCACACGTTTACCACTGTGTATGTTTAAGCTCCTTTTCTTCTATAGTTCTTCTTTGTCGCACTCTCAGGGGAGACAACTTGTCACACAATTTGTTTCCTCAAATAGGAAGAGTGTCTGAAACAAGCACCCATGTCCTCCAAGACCTCAGGTGGAGCATGGATATTTCAGTGGGCCCTTAAAGCAGGGAGATGCCTCTGAAAGACAGGATATCCCCGGTCAGGAACACCTACCAGCACCCTTTCCTGCCTGGCCTGCTGACTCCTATCCTGTCCGTGAGGTCTCTCATCCTCCTAGGACGTTTACAAGGAGGAGCGCTGCAGGACCAGGCGGCAGGAAGCCGAAGGTCCTTTAAGACGCTCGAGGGGTCAGATCTCATCCTACCACGCTATGGTCAGACCCGGGTCAAGGTCCAGTCTGCTGGCTGTGCTACTCAGCCTCCATTGTTAGGAGAGAGGAGAAGTGTGTGCACATTTCCTCTGTCTATTTTCTGCATGGCCTGGTTTATTGGGCTCTGATTTATGAAAGCTGCACATGTTTTTCTAACATACAGTAGGTCTGGAAGCAAGCCTGATTTAAAACAACACAAAGGCATGGGCTGTTTGTCATCCATTGATATGACAATGAACGAGTTAGGGTGGGAACCCCTATAGAAACTCGGCGTCTTACCTTTCCCCTTCAGTTTCTATTGATATACATCACTTGGTAAACAAACATTATCCTGTCTTGTGCTGTGTTTAGATCACCTCCAAAAAGTTGGATGGAGGATAATTGGTTTTAATACGTCTCCGTCCTGTCTTAAAGGCTCAGGAAATTAAAAAAACAAAACAAACAAATATATATTTTTATACATTAATACACATAATTACATTTAGCTGCCATGTGACTACATATATATATATATATATATATTGAGTAGTTTCAATGCTGTTTGTGTTTGGTTTCATATGGTCATTGATGCTAATGGTTTGAATTAAACAATTACTCATACAAAACTCTTGGAAATGTTATATTACTAATTATTATATTATTGAATTATCACTCCCAATGCATTCATGTGTAGGCATCATTTTAATGTGTTGTATTATAAGCTGATCTCTGAAATCTTACTGCAATGTGCAAAGTAGCAACAAATACACATAGCGGAATAAAAAGAACAGTATTTTCCTCTTTAATATAGTGGAGTAGAGGTATAAAGTGACATAAAATGAGAATACTAAAGCAAGGTCCTAGTTATGAAGGATAAACAGACCTTCGTGGGTAGAAAATACTTTGAATGGAAACTGTTGACTGACTCTTTCACTAGTTTCTGGGGACAGAGGGAATAATGAGGACTTTTCAAACATTAAGTATATTACATAAACATTTAGTTCAAAGTGAATGTTGATAGAAGGTATTAGAAAATGACAGGTTGTTTCATGTGTTGACTGTGGTGTCTACAAGATGCTATTAGTGATATAATTAGTGGTATTAGTTTGTTATTTGTTGTCATTTTATGGGTCTTTAATTTTTGTTTTCAGACAACACTGCTGCTTATCTTTGCACAGACAGAACTACTGTAGCTTCTGTACAGGTGCAGATACAATAATGTTTCTGTCACATTATCAATATAGAAAACAATAGAATTTTAGTATTTACATTTTTCTGAAGGAAAGGTTAAATGATCATTTGTGCTCATGAATATTTGTAATAGAAAGCTGTTCTAGACGTTTGTCATTTGCAAGAGAGGGAGAAAGAAGACAGTTTATACCCTCGGGATGCCCCACGGCACACTGGGTTCCAGCACTTCATTCTCACACTCTGTTATTACAGAGGAATGAAAACATTTATGTCATCTCAGACAAACACCAAGCCTATATAGGGAATCAAAGGGCATAAATCCTCTTTCCTCTCGCAGCACTTTGTTTCTAGCTTGTGGCAAAGTTCACGCCATGAAATCTTTGTAACATGATCACATTAGCTTCATAAAACTTGAAAACCCATGAAAATAATCTATCCAGATTATCTTTCACAGTGGGATTTGACTTTGATGATGACAGGTGGAGGATAATGTGTCATCTTGTAAAACATAGCTGCTCTATGGAATTAAAAAATGTACTGTATGCTGTTTCACCAATAAAACATGTTCTTGTGCAGACTCTAGTGCACAGATGGTGTCACAATGTGTAATGAATCGGCTGTTGGACCTCTGTCCCAGATTTATTTCCTGTCTTTCATATACAGACTTTCTAAAGTAAATTCAGAGGTGTACTGAAGATTTTCTTTGCATGTCTGTGTTTGTACCATCGGATGAGATTAAGTAGAGCTGGGACAGTGATGAAGACGCCAGAGTGAATGTCGCTGCAGCTGTTGGATTTCTCTCTCTTCCCATTCACAAATACATTTTCAGATTTCACCTGTCTGACATTAAAGACACAAAAAAGTTTTCCTTCAAAGAGAGTTCAGTTTTTCCCACATTTATCTAAATGGCTTGCTGTTGTAAACTGTAATTGTAGGTAATTTAGATTAAGCCATTCACAGGTATTACACAGGGAGAGATAGTCGACTCCTACTACAAATCAGTAACCAAGGATTAGTCCAATCCCTCTGTCTCCTTCTGTTGCTGATTATATCCTGTAAAAAGCTCATTACAGTCAAAATGGTTAATCATTGAATTCTAATTTAAAGCTCAACAATCTGTTGTGGTGTTTGTTTGCTAAAAACAATTCATTAAAATGTCACATGGTTAATTGTGATAGACCAACAACATGGAAACACACTTTTAGATGCATTTTGGGACATATTGGTACAGAAAAAGATTCCTGGGGTTCTGGTAATTAACCCATGGGAGACGTAACACCCCTGGGACAAAGCCAAATGTCCTGTGGTTGATCCAATTTAGAAACTTTTGTACTCACTGATTGTTTGTGTGAGCGAATTGTAAAAGGAGAAGAAACAAACATGGTTGAAGAGGGAAACAGAAGTCGAACATGCATTTCCTGCAGACATATGCTTTGATTTCAGCCCCGCGAAACACAATGGGAGGCAGGCTGCCTCCCCTCAGCAATGCACCAACAGGAAGAAGCACATTCACTGGATGGGAGAAAATACATTCCAGCAAGACTTAACAAGCTATCACAAGCAACAAAGTGAGACCATAAAGAGAATATTTGTGTTTTTTCAAAGCACCTTTTTTTATTACAAATCATAAACATCGATTTAAAATAATGTGTATTCACAAAATGCTTTCATATATTTGTCAGGAACAAATTCATTGTCATTCTGACACTCAACAAACTCATTCCTTCACACACACACAGACACATACACACCAGCAGACTGTCAAAGCAGTCACCTTTTAATTGGACCCTCCACCAGCCTGAAAACATTTGTCAGCTGCCATCTGTCTGTCTGCCTGGGACTCCCTACCCCCCCTCCCACTATCTCTGTCTCTGCTTACAACACTCTTATCAGACTCCAACACCTCTTACTGGCTGGCACACCCTTCCTACACACACACACACACACACACACACACACACACACACGTCACACTGCTGGCTGTGATGCAGATACTACAGACTGAGCTGGAGAGCGGGGTTGTCTGACAGAAATCACACCTCAAGTCAAGTGCTTACAAATGAAAACACGAACAGCGGGGGTCAAATACATGAGGAATACACTTCATCTGGACTTGAGGACAGAGTTCAAAGCTCAGTATTTTGCATAAAGTCCACAGAAGAACCAAGAGAAACACATGAGCATGTCTTTTTAAAATACATTCCACTTTAAAAAAAAAAAAGAAATAGTTCATGGTTCAGGCTTGGTCCCCTGTATTAAGTAGTTCAGTTTTGCTGTCCTGCCACTGTAAGTGAGGCTGGAGCTTGATTGTGGTCAGACCCCAAAACCACGATCCTGACAGTCGTCTTTAGCAGTCAGAGAGGAGCAAAGGTGACACCCTGAAACTGACCACAGACGCTCTGCGGGCAAGCACCCAGCGCTGTAAAGTTTTGATTCACCTGCATTGTTTGGCATTGTTCACCTCTTCCCCAGCATGCATCTGGGCCCTCAGCTGTCGTCACACCTTCGTAGCCAGAGACTGAGCCTCTGTCTTCTGAGAGGACAGGGAGCTTGGGGGGATCGCATGCAAGGACTTCTTCAGGTTGAGTAGGCACAGACACTGGGATCTGAAGCGCAGGTCGAAGAAGGCGTAAAGAAAGGGGTTGAGGCAGCTGTTGATGTAGGCCAGGCAGGTGGCATACGGGTGAGCCAGCAGCAGGAAGCGTAGGAAGGCACAGGTGTCAGGAAACAAGTCCAGGTAGGAGAGGGCGTCAGCACTCTTTACGACGTGGAAGGGCATCCAGCAGGCGGCAAACACCACCACCAGCGTGGTGATGATCTTCAGCAGCCTCCTCTTACGCTGGTCCTCTTTGCGCAGAGTGTTGAAGTGGCGAGTGATGGTGCAGCCAATGAAGCCGTAGCACACCATCATTGCCAAGAAAGGTAGGAGAAAGCCCAAAGCTGAGGAGGAGATGCTGAGTCCAGCAATCCACAGATTCTCTTGCTCTTTCTTGGTTGCCACCAGGCTGAAGTCCATGGCGCAGGACGTGAGGTTGCTGGTTGGGTCGTATTTGGTGGTGCGGAAGATCAGAGTCGGGGCAGCCAGGAGACCAGACAGCAGCCAGATAGCTGTCAACGAGGCTTGAGTGTGGCCTCGGGTGCGCAGCTGGGTGCTGGACAAGGAGTGGACGATGGCCAGGTAGCGGTCGAAGCTCATACAGGTGAGGCAGAAGACACTGGCATACATGTTGAGCAGGACCACGTAGCTGCTGATCTTGCACAGGGCCACGCCGAAGGGCCAGTGGTAGCCCCTGGCAGTGTAAACGGCCCACAGTGGCAGAGTGACTACAAAGGTGAGGTCAGCCAGGGCCAGGTTGCCGATGTAGACGTCAGCAGCTCTCCTCTTACCCTGGGCACGCCACACGGTGAAGATGACCACCCCATTTCCAGAGAGGCCGAGGATGAAAATAAGCATGTACAGCACCGGGATGACGGAGTATGACGGTGTCCACTCAGAATAGTCACACATGGAAGAGTTTTCTGTCTCCTCGTAGTCGTAGTACTCGTCATAAGTACCTTCAGTTGGCTCCATTTCTGTTCTCTCTTCTCTTCTTATCCTTTTTTAAAGAGAAAGAAAAATCTATGTTTGGTTCAGATAGATCCACAGTAGCTGTCAGCACTCTGAAGTCTGTTGCTGCTTCTGAAATCTGCCCACCCTTATATACCCCCCTCCCCTGGCTTGTGCCCTCCCAGGACACCCCCTCCCCCCTCCCACTGCCCTCCTCCTCTCTATTTGAAGGAAATGCTCTTTCACCAAGCACACGCCCACATTTCTCTCCATTCACTTGATTTGTACCACACTGCATAATGCAGAACGGAGTCACTTTAATATATGTGATATGGGTTGAAATTCTAGTACTTTTTTCAGGATAGCCCTCCCTGTCCTCACTTTACGTGCACAAAACACAGACTGCAGAAATTGATCCCTGGAAGCAAAATTAAACTCTAACCTATAAATCATATATCATACATGATTCTTACACTTGCCATAAATAAAACTGCAGCACTTTTTTACAGGCAATGAAAGTGAACTTGACATGTTTGGACAGTAGCCCACAAGTCAAGTCTGGGCATGACAAGTTTCATGAAGTACTCAATTTTAATATCAATTGAGAGTCCTTCAGGCACCAGAGTACTCTGCTGAAGGGGCTGCAGAAATTTACATTTCTATGTCAGACTTTTTCATGTCTGTACATGCTCAAACAAGTAGAACCACACACTAAAGACAAAATGAAGTTGTGGTTAGCTTTACTAGACAAACAAAACTTTAACGTCAGACTTTTAATTGAAATAAATATAAAAACAAGCACTGACTCAAAGACAATAGCCTTGAGTTAAATTTTATTTCTACTTCATTTTAACTTTTTAAGACAAACTGATTTGATATTAGGGCACTTTGGATGAGAGATTTTAAAACTTTATGGTTTTGTTTTTTTTCAAATACTGTGTTTATTTAAGAAGAAAAATAAAATAAATATAACATTTAGGTATCCTTTTTCAAAGAAATAAACAACAAAATTGATAAATGACAGCTAGTACAATACACAATAAAATGAAATGTATTAATTACAGCGTTGGCATATTATATAAACAAAGAAATACATCTATAAATACTACAAAATAAAAGATCTGATATTTATTTACAATAAAAAAAGTCCTGACTTTCAATTTAAAACTAAATGCATCCTGTAAAGACGCTGGTCAGATAATGTAATATGATATATTTCCATCACTTCTTGCATTTGTGCACTTTTTGCCGATTTACACAGCAGAATAAATATTATAAAAAGTTTTGAAGTTTTTGTCAAATATGATACAATTAACCTGATTGAAATACAACTAAAAAAATAAAACCGGTATTTGGTATATTTGGAAACTTTGGGATCTCTTAAACAATGTTTGCCTGCACAGCACTGGCCTGAGTCAGAGAAGCTGAACTTCTCTGACTAATATCATCATATTTGGTATACCAAATATGGGTTTTATTTTGGGGAAATATGTATAAAATGATACACAGCATGAGTAGAATAGAATTTATATTCTATTTGATTTGATTGAATTGTGCAAACATAAATAACATGGGGTTTTGGTTTGAATATGTGGTTGGAACAATAATGATTTTTTCTTTTTTTCTACTTTAAAGCTGCTTATGATAAGCTAGAAGAAGTCAAACAAGCAACACTCTTCCCCTTCGTTGGTGTCTCTTGGGTCTCTTTTGTTGGCCCAGGTGGGACAGCTCAGTCTTCAGTCTGCTCCGTCTCTCAGCAAAGTGGCAGCAGTGGCGCCATGGCACCGACCTTTAGACACAACTACTGTATCACTCAACATTGTTTTCCTCCACTGATCCCTTCCTCCACCCCTCCATCTCTGCCTCCTGCACCCTCCCCACTCATCTCCGCCTTCCTCCGATTATGAAGATGAGGATTGATTCCCGTCTCCTCCGCTTTTACCGTCATTTACTCTCAGAGAACTGTTTGTTGTTGCCAAATGATTGTGATGCTAGCTTGTGGCATTTCATAATTAAACTGATGTGATTGTGTTTGTGTGCCTCCTCCTAAACCCTGTCCTCTCTCAATCCGCTTGATTGTGCGTCCAGCTTTTTGTCCGTCCGGCAGAACAGGAAAACAGCAAAGTGAAGTGAATCAAAGCAAGCTTCCTATCTGTACTCTGGCGGGACTGAGGTCTGTTTATAGCAGCGTTCGCTGACAGGGAGGTGAATATACAGCTAAATAAAACAGGCCTTGATTAATACAAGCAATCCACCCAGTCACTCTTCCCAGAAAAACCCTTTATGGAGCAGTTTTACAAAGAAATAACAAGAAATAAAGTCTGCTGAAGATAAAGGTTTTTAATGCACTACATTGAGACTGCAGCACGACAAAAATCCCAATTTCACCCTATTTTAAACTGCTGATGAGTGACAAGTTCCAATTGGACTGACATGAACCTCATTGCAGAGTATCCATCATTTCGCTCAACATACCAGAGACCCTATTTCCACAACACCAAGCTTGTGTTATTCCTCTTAATTGCCCACCTGTGTCTCAAATTGATTGTTGTTACTGTTGGTGCTGTCCTCTCATGTGTGGCCTCGTGCTGTAAACCACACACCGTGAAGGCACAGAGGCTCTCCCCCATCTTCTCCACTCTTATTTAACCACACCAAGGCATTTCATCCATCCTTCATCCTTTCTCTTCTTTCGACTGTCATCCATCAGCGATAAGCATATCCGGGGGATACAAGGATGAGTACTCGCTTCTCAAAATATACACAAAGGCAGAGAGAAACACACAAAGCACACCCTAGAGTGACAGTCTGTCTGCAGGGCTGCCGAGCGTCTCTTTGATCCTTAATCCTGACCTTGTGTGTTTATGGGCCTGTTTTTGGTGATACTTGCAGCGCCAAAAGAGTGTGAGGTGTGTGTCCTTGTTGTTTAGGTGTGTGTGAGGGTTGGTGGGGGTCCAACAGTTGTTTGATGTGTGTGTTAAGCTGTCACAGACCACATACACAGGGCCCCCTGTGCTGAGACAGCTGGTTCCTCGAGGCTTTATTTGCAATCGGACCAACTTTGAGTCAGACTGCAGCTCCTCTGAAAATTCATGATATCACACGTCTGACCTGATAGCAGCTTGACAGCCCTGATGATAAACAGACCCTCAGGCAAATACTGAGTCATTGGTACCAGTTACATTACCAATCACATCAACAGCTGCACATTTAATTATCTGAATACCGTCAAAGCTAACACTTCCAGCGCGGCTCCAACATTTGGGCGTCGTTGCTGCCTGCTCCACTTCAGTATTCTCCCTTTTCAAGCAGAGATCATGAGGTGATTGACACCAGCTTGTTAGACACAAAGGTCACCAGGATGGGAGGTTTACACCTTTTCTTACTGTCCCAGCAAGACGGCTTCAGCTAGAGATTCACAGCTGTTTTCGTGGATGAAACAGTTCTGAACTCTGTGAAATGTATGTGGAAATGACATACCAGTATCTTTTAATCCATCTGGCACAATCTTTAATAATAGCATGGTTACTGGTGACTAGTGGCAGGACAGACTGTGTGAGAGCAGGATAGAAAGGGATTGGGCATGACGGGACAGAATACGACAGAATATGACCAGGGAGCAAAAAATTGTTTGATTCAACAACAGCCTAAAGGGGCTCTCAGACCCAAAACAGCCCTGCTTAAAACAGCATAATGCTGATGGGAGAATGCTGCTTCGGGTACTGGTGAGACATGACATCCAGTTGAGTAACAGATCCATGAATCAGACATATAAACACTGCACGGTGGTTGATTATGCTCTGACAGATTATTTTATAACTGTTTCTACCAGGAATGTGCAGAAGGCCTCACGTTGTGTTATAGCAAAATAAAGAGAGGGCAGAGTGTTTTTTTTACACAGGGCTCGAGTTGGGTTGTCTGGGTTGACGGATTCATAGCAGATTAGATGATGACTGGTGCAGCATAATCGTCCCACGTAAACTAATTTGATTCCCAGGAGCTGGAACTTGAAGAGAATAGATGAAGATGACATTTTCTGCTCGTAAATCACAGATTCTTCATTTGGTTTTTCCAGTACAGGGTCGTGACATACATGTACAGTATTGGGAAAAAGGCCCGACATACTCCATCGCTCACTTTAAAAAGGTCAGGAAGCAGCCATGATGCACACTCCTTGCTGAGTTTGTATTTATACGAGAACAGTGCACTTTCTTGAACCCATCCAGCACACATACTTGGAGTTTGCAAGATGTTTTCAGGACCTTACAGCCCCGATGACCCGACCCTCAGACATCCATTCAGTTTTCTGTTTGTAGGCCAGTCGACCGGGTGACTCTGTTGATATAAATCTTCCTGCTTTCAACATGTTGTTGTCTTCCCTGCCAGTAGCAGCTGAACAGAAATATTTATCAACTCTAAATGTGAGGACAAGAGAGGGAAATCCCACACAGTTTTCACGAAAGGGTATAAATAGCTATAACACTTGCATTCAGGGTCACCAGTGAAAATATAACTGTAAGAGAAAGGCGGGGCGCCTCCTCGTCTCTTACGCAGGACAGCTGAGAAGAGTTTAAATCACAAGGAACAAAAGTGAGACGTTCATTTATAATTTATAGAAGCAGCGAGGCAGAGCCGGTCCTACCCTCCTTGGGGCCCTGAGCACGGTGTGTAAAAATGGCATAAACACAGATGCACAAAAAGAAAATGAAACTTGTGCCCTGGCAGCAGCTGTGGACACCAGTCCAGATAATAATAATAGTATAAAAGAATAGAATAGTAATAATAGAAAGCTGGAAACAACCTGTCTCATAGAGAGGTACAGTGTTTTTATTTCTGGTTTTACTTTTGTGAGAGTGAAATGAATTGTTTAGGGGTACATTTAAGTCATTTACAAAGCAATATCTAGCTAAAGTTGGCTAGATACAGGTCATCCCAGACCAAGTAAGGTCATAGCCACAAACTCCCCCAGTGTACAAGACTGAGCAGTTGTGCATTTTATTTCTTATTTATTAGAAAAAAAGGTTTCTTTCAAAATGCTGCTGTGACTGTGAAGCTGTTAAAATTTGATGAAACTTTATGGTGATTTTGAGGCCATAGTTGGAGTTGTTTGCTCTGCATTACATCATGAGGGGT